GGGGAAAGGAGAGCTCTGCAGGTACTAGATCTCAGCCCCTTTTATAATCAAAAGTTAATTTAGTCTAAACCAACAGATTTAGCTTAATTTGATCTCTACGTCATCAACAAGACTACTTTATAGATCAACTACACGTACTTCATCTATACAAGTCACTGCTTCTATAGATCTATCTATGTTTTAACTAGAATCTAGATCTAGAAGAATCCGTACTTCTTACTTCTTCGTTTGTTAGGAATACCCTACTTTCTGCCATGAACGATTTTGGCACCAAAAACTTTCGCAAACTATTGTTTTTGTTTGTTTGAGACTTTAGCACAGGGGAGACCCCCGTGCACACCCCCACCCCCACCCCCTTTTTTGTTGCCATTTTACTGTCTTTGCTGGGGAAACCACCCCCTCCTAGCACACCCCTTCTTTTACTTGTAGAACAAACAAACAAACCAAAAAAAAGCACAAACTGGACTGGCGACCAAAATAGCGGAAGGTAGGCAACAAACGAAGGAGTCCCAAAGAATCTAGATCTTAAAAAAAAATAATTTAATAAATAATGATAATAATGGATTGCATTTATATAGCGCATATCCACTTATGCAATGCTCTATGCGCTTAACATGATACATATAATGGATTTACAAATCAATTTTAAAGGTACATAGTGTTACATACTCATGCAAACACATATTCACTCACGCACGCACCACACACATATACATACTCACATACACACATACATACATATACACATACAAACTCACAACGATCTACAGCTTGGATGCATTCTGTCTAATCGAAATATGATGAAAATAGAAATGATTTTAGTTTCTTCTTAAAAATTTCTAGATCTAGATTTTCTGCTTCTCTGATAGTTTTTGGAAGCCTATTCCAAACAAGTGGGGCAAAATATGAAAAAAAGCGTTGGCCATATGATTTGTAATTTATTTTAGGCTTAACAAGGGTTGTTTTGTCACTAGATGATCTGCGAATTTAGTAGAGGTTCAACGGCGCTCGCAACTGCATAAGGCGCCAAGGGGTGGATGTCAACAGAGAAGTCTTCACAGGGAATCGGGCTTACTCTGCTCACCTCTCTAGGTTCAGCAGCACAAAGTCTGCTTCGACTATCACGGTACCCTGTAAATAGCGGGTCACAAGAGTGTGACAAACATACAAAAGAAGTAGAGGAAAATGACGATAGTAAGGATTAGGAAAGAAAAAGCAGCAGTTCCCCTATTGAGGTCCAGGCATTATTTTCTAGATCTTGACTGGGAGATGAGCACTGAAATAGATCTAGATAGATCTAAACCAAAGAAACTATCTCCAGATGCGAGGAAGCATAGATCTTTAAACCTAGATTTACGCTAGATCTATCTATATCTAGAATCTAGATTTAGATTTATATCTAATCTAGATCTACTTAAAACACAAGTTAAGTTACAACACACGCTTTCATTCCTGGTGAATGCAAAGGTGTATGCTTAGAAACAAAATTTCACTGAATAATACGCTATTTAATCTTTATCTACTTATCTACCAATTGACTTACCTTTCAGGGTCTTTCGGAAACTGAAAAAAAAGCTAATTCAGGTCGTTTGCTCTTTTACTTAGTTTATTGCGGCATACCACTTACAGAGTGTGTTCTTAGGATCAGCCATGTTTGTTTGAGTTTACCGCCCCAGTTTCTGCTGTCACGGAATTGGTATTCACGGTTTGGCCCAAGCTGTACTGTCTCGTTTACATTGCTAGGTCTCTGGTTATAGGTGTAGGTATAGGCATATTATGTGTGTGTATGTGGTTGTTTTTGTGTGCGCTTGTGTGTGTGTGTGTTTGTGTGTTTGTGTGTGTGTGTGTGTGTGTGTGTGTGTGTGTGTGTGTGTGTGTGTGTGTGTGTGTGTGTGTGTGTGTGTTTGTTATATTACATACATCTCTCTCTCTCCCACTCTCTTTCTGTATATATAAATAATCTTTTTTAAAATGTATATTATATAATATAAATATATAATTTTATATTATATTATAACACACACACACACACACACACACACAGACAGACAGACAGACACACACACTTTATGTTAAAGCCATGCACTACCCACTCATGCAACATACCAATTTAGAGGTAGGTAGATTCTGTATCATCTGCCACATTAATATTTCATTTAGGTTATGAGACGCCTGAGATGTGATCACTCAAAACTGACCTTTAAAATTAGACTTTACAAATTTGGGTGAAATCAAAGAAACGCAAAGTTGACTTCGCACATGTATTGAGGAACATCAATATTGATAGAATGGACATACATTGCATATCCAATGAATGGAGGCTATTTTGTTTGTGCAATAAACAGTTTTACTTCGACAGTTTCAAACAAAATGGAAAAGAAATCAATCTCAAATACCACGCAAAACATTGACTTAACATTAAAATTTAACATGCTCATTGTTATTTTCCAAGGAGTCATTAGAACCCTTTTGGGCATCGGCTCTATTAAACTATGGACATAATCATCCGTCATTTCATCCCAAATGTCACTGACACTGACAGTTGCAAACAAAGGGTTTGAATAGGGAGCAAAGTCGATTTTCTTCAGCTGCTGTTTCATGAGACTTCCCACACCCGTAAGATTCATATCGGGGCTATCTACTGGTGACCACTCCATCGTTGATATGATTTGGTTTTCTAAGAATTATCTATACGCATCAAGGCTCTTTGGCAAAGTGCTATGCCATGCATAGAGATGTCTACTTGAATGGCACCATGACGAAAATTAAGGTAAGATATGACATTCCCCCAGCACTTACGCGATAATAATACAGTGGAGTCCACATATAACGAGTCCTGAAACAACGAGAAGTCTGTTATAAAGACACTGTTCTAAAGCCCCGTTTTTTTTCCTTCTTTATCTTTGTAAATAAAATTCTGCTATTGCGCAATCAGACCGTCATGCGAGACGTTTATAGCGGAATATTGCTGCTGCTGTGCACAGTGCACAGACCAATTAAACATTATTATAAAACCTTGCCAGTTGAGAAAGTTGTCGGTGATCCAGCGAAACAAGGAATGGGAGAGCGTGCGCGAACCAACAATGAAGGCCGGAGCGAATGAGTGGGGAGGGTGTGGCATGCGCAGACACAAGCAGAACGCATCGCGTGATAGGCCAGCCCTGTCTAGATTATCAAGGCATACCGTGCCTCTCACTTCTCTGGTGCGGGATGGAGAGGTCACAATGCTGTGATAGATGGAGTGAATGTGTGACGTGCGCAAGCAGACGCAACGCACCACAGGGTGTGGTGGGGTGGGGGACAACACAGCGGGCGAGTTAGCCTAGAGCCAGGGCCCCTTCTTTCTGATCACCAAAGCCGACTTGTCAACATTGCTAGTGCTAGAGAAAGAAACCTAATTCGATTTTTGATCAAGTAAGACCTAGAGATCATGTTGAACAAATCATCATCGGGGGAAATACAAAAAGGAATAAACAGAACGCCAAATCATAGATTAGGCCTACTTTACTATTTCCCTTGAATTTATTACTGGATCCCTTGTAACGAGAATCCTGCTATAACGGACATTTCGCTCCGGTCCCCTCCCTCTCGTTATAACACGATTCCACTGTAGTCCACTAAACCAAGCGATCCGGTGATTCACGCAATGGTGGGTTTTTTTTAAATTCCACCCTAGACCACCCCCAACCATGGCAGTTTCGTGACCTCTGCTCCTCACAAACAGATGTTTGGTCCAAAATCTAAGTAACACAGCCCATATGAGAAAAAAAATGGTTCGTGCGTTACACGAAACCAATAACTCATAAACAAATGCAATTATACTCTCTCAGTGTGTGTGTGTGTGTGTGTGTGTGTGTGTGTGTGTGTGTGTGTGTGTGTGTGTGTGTTCGTGTGTGCGAGCGTGCGTGTGTGTGTGTGTATGTGTAAGTATCATGTGTGAGTGTTTTTGATACGAAAGGGATGTTTTCCTTGTAAACAATGATCAGTTTACCACTCCCTATTCTTCTCATCAATCTCAACCCACCGGACATAATATTATTGTACGTCTTTGATGTAGAGGTTAGGCACTTTGTCGTACGGTAGTACACAGATGGCATGGGTTTGATTATCTAGTGGGGATAATTTTTATCAAGCATCTTCATTTCTTTCTTCTGGAATCTTGTATCTCTCTCAACCGGGATTGACCCCGACAGACAGCGCTGATGCCCACTTCCTGAATGATCCATTTGTTTTAACTTAGGTGTAAAACAAAAGCAAATCAACTTGAACCTGAAGCAAGATATATTGCACAAGAACTACAAAGGAAAACCAAAACAAAACCAAAAAGCAAACCCCCCCCCCCCACCCGAAGGCAACAACAAAACAACAACAAACATAAAAAATCAACAGCAACAACAACAACATCAAATCAACCAACAAACAAAAACAACAACTAACAAACCAAATATACAAAACGAGGGAAGACACTTACCCACGGTTACGAGCACAAGCGCTACAACTGACACTATACTGCTCGTCATGCTAACAGGTTTCCTTTCGTTTGTAACTGAACCTGAAGTAGAGAGTACACAAATTTAATGTAACAAGCCTTCGTTTGACACTAGCACAAACGTCCGACACGAAAACGAAAAGCAAACTGTGGCAGGAACACTTGGACAACACGCTAACGTCAAAAACGTTTAACCCCACTGTTGGAATTGCCCTCATTATTGATGATTACCTATGTGTTGGTGGCGCAATTCAGCTCCCCAACAGTCTTCAAGTAAATTACCCCAAATAGACGGCTATTATCGACCCATTGTGTTTATATATATTATATTTTATTTTTATATACATACATGCATATACAGACGTGTGTGTATTTGTATGTGCGTGTGTGTATGTGTGGTGTTTTGTGTGTGTGTGTGTGTGTGTGTGTGTGTGTGTGTGTGTGTGTGTGTGTGTATGTGTATGTGTGTGTGTGTGAGTGTACGTTTTGACTTCCATCCAACCGTTGAGACCGACTCATGGAAACGGAAGGCTTCGATTACATTCACGTTAAGAACCATTGGTCTTAATATACTGGCGACCAAAAGAAAGGTACCACGTATGTGATCTGCTACGTTAAAATCATTGAGCCTTTTGAGTCGTTATGCTTTTCTGTTTGTGTAAATAATGCTACATGTAAGTAGTCTAAAATGTATGTCATGTTATAGAAATATCGTTTCGCTGTTTCACTCAGTGTTCACAGTGCTAAAATAAAAATGTGAAAATTTGGAAATTAGCATATTTTCCTCACCCTGTTGTGGATTCGTTTTTTAAATATTTTTGTTGTGTGTGTTTTTTTTTTAAGGTAAAGTTTTGGGTTTTATTGATGAAAAAACCGCGATAATAGTGGATCATTGCCACCCAAGAAAGATAGCACGGAAATCGAGCCGTCGGCATGCTCCGCACGTTTCTGCTATTGCCAGGACATTCAATGTCAGTCAGTTTTTCTGATAAACAAAAAACTCAAACTTCATTTAAAAACGCAAAATAGAAAAAGTACACCATGTGGTCAGGCAAATGCCATAAGTTTTCTGTTTTTTGTTGTTGGTGTTGTGAATATTTAATAATATTGTGAGAAGAAAAAAGAATGCGCATATATTACCCAAAAAGTTAAGGACCCCTTAGTTTAACTTAATTCTGAATTAATAAATAAATTTATTAAGCTCAAAATCAGCAAGTTCGGTATACAGTAGCGTCCTAAAAAAGCTTGAAAATGTAATCACCCAATCATCGTGTTATAGGCTTGCACTACCCACTAATGCAGCATACCAACATAATAATAAATAAATTCTGCATGACCTGACACATTACTATTTCATCTATGTTAAGCTCGAGATATGGTCACTCAAAATTGACATTGAAAATCAGGCTTGGCATAACAGCAGCCTAAAAAAGCCACTTTGCTCCCAATTCAGACCCTTTGCAACTCTCTTTGACATTTGAGATGAAACGACAGATAATTATGTCTAAAGTTTAATAGATTCGATGTCCTAAGGGTTCGTGCACTACACAAAACTAATGGCTCCTAAGTAAAATAATGAGCACGTTTAATATTAAATCTTAGTGGCTTGCTATTTCCAGTTTTGTTTGAAACTATCGTGACAGAATATCAAAATATGGTATTGTTTATTGCAATACAAAATTCTCCATTCATAGGATATGCAATGTATATCCATTCTATCAAAAGTGATACTCCTCAATACACGTGCGAAGAAAATGTAACGTTTTTTTATATTTCGCACAATTTTGCCAAACCTGTTTTTTTTAAGGTCAATTTTAAGTGACCATAATATTATCTAGGGAGCCCTTAATATAGATAAATTTAGACTTTGTCAGATGATGCACAAGTAATTTATCTTTAAATTGGCATGAGTAGGTAATGCGAGGCTTTAACACGATGAAAGGTTGATTGCATTTTCAAGGGGTTTTTTTTGGACGCCACTGTATATGGCACTTTATTCATACCGTAAAGCTTTATAAAATTGTATGGATTCGACAATGTTAGCGTTTGCAAGTCCTATTTAAAGTGTTAAATGAAGGACCCCCACTTGTCGAAAGTCATACGGATCAAACTGGAAAAATAGATAAAAGTTTAAAAAGGCGTGTGGCCATCATTAGCATGTAAACAGTCTGTGCAACGTTGCATTATGGATTGAAGAAGCGTTCCTAGAATGAGCTTTAGCATTGCCTGCCATTCATGTTCAAGAATTCGAAAGAATTCGTCTCCGTTATAGGACGGAGGTTGGTGGGTCCTGTTGTGTCGCTCTCGAACATCCCGTAACCATTACTTCACAATATGGCTCTTTTCGTCTATGCAGACAGTCAATTTAGCTTAAGACGGTCTCAAGGTTGTCTTCCTGCAGCTTCTTTCATGGCTAATTCTTCCTATGTTTGAAGCGCAGATTGGTGGGTCCTGTTGTGTCGCCCACGAATATCCCATAACCATTACTTAACTGCATGATCTTTCATTCTGTTGAAAGGCGGTCCATCATTGTTTGTAGTGTTGATTCACTGTGAGCAACAAGAGCAGCATCATCGGCGAAGACAAAGTCCCGTACTGTTGGTTGTTTTTTTAAATCTTGGTCTTGGACTGGAGTCGAGTAAGATTGAAGAGCGACTCATCCTTTCCCCAGTGAAGGCAGACATCCCCTGATGACTCTTTGAATGTGTGCTGCCGTAAGACAGCAAAATAAGTGCTAAAGAGGGTTGGTCCCAAGACACAACCTTGCTGCACTCTGCTATTAATGTTGAAGCTGTTTGATGTTGAACCGTCAAACTGAATGGTGGCCTTCACATCTTCGTGGAATGAGATAATTAGCTGTAGCAGTATTGGGGGAAAGCCAATTTTACCAAACATCATGAGCAGTCCTGATCTACTGACTGTATCAAAAGCCTTTGTCAGATCAACGAACGCAGTATGAAATGGCAGTTGTTGGTCCCTGCATCTTTCTTGTAGCTCATGAATAGAAAGATCATGTCCATTGTTGAGCGGTTTGATCTGAAACTGCATTGTCTCTCTGGTAGGACTCTTTCTGCAAGTTTCTGAAGTCGCTTCAGGATGATCCCAGCGAAAGCTTTTCCAGATATGATTAGCAGTGAGATATCTATGTAGTTGTTGCAATTTCCTTTGTCCCCTTTGTTTTTGTAGAATGTGGTGATTTTGGTATCTCTCACGTTATTTGGAATTTCTGCTTTCAGCCAACAAGTCGTTAGTAGCTTGTAGAGATATGGGAGGAGAGTTTCTTTGTTCTCTTTCAGCACTTCAGCAGGTATGTTGTCATTTCCTGCTGTTTTTCCGCAAGCGAGTTCATCTTTTGCAGAAGAGAGTTCTTTTTCTGTTGGTGTTGGATCAAGTTCTGAAATTTCGGAGGGCTGAGGAATGGCCTCATATAGCTGTCTATCAAAATGTCGCTTCTCTGAGTATAATACGTCTGAATTATGTTCTACCCATCTTTCCATTTGTTTCTACTTGTTTGTCAGCTGTTCACCTGTCGCAGACTTTAGAGGTGAAACATTGTTTGATGTTGGTCCAAAAGCAGCTCTGATATTTTCTTACATTTTCCTGATATTACCTGTATCGTTGCCTATGGGATTTCTGGGCATAATTTGTCCCAGTACTGATTGGCGCACTTTCTGGTTTTTCTTTGAAGGTTTGATTTAGCAGCCCGTAGTTGTTGCTTTGTACTTTCTGTTGGATTTGTGTGGTGTTCCAACAGGATCTTAGGCTTTTTCTCGAGTGTTGATGCACTGGCTTCAACTCAGTCCTCTTTGCAAGGTCTTTCTATTCCAAAGATAATCGACGCCGAATTATAAATTGTTGATCTCATGCTATTTCACATGTTGTCTGGGGATGAGCTATCTAGATGTTAAAGCTGTTCTTTAACATGTCCTTGAAATTTTGCCTTTAACTGGGTCTTTGGTATTTCTTATATTGATCTTAGGTTTCTTTTGTTCTTCAGCTCTTGATGTTTTCTTTGTGAGTATCTTTGCCTTTGCTATGACTAAAAGGTGGTCTGTGTTGCAGTCTGCACTGTAGAAGGATCTTGTTTGCTTTACCATGTTGGCATCTTTCTTTCTGAGGATGATGAAGTCGATTTGGTGCCAATGGCGTGATTTTGGATAGTACCAAGAAACCCTATGTCTGTCCTTGCCACTGTAGAAGGTGTTAGTGATGCAAAGGTTGTTATTTGTGCAAAATTCCAAGAGTCTCTGATCATTCTCATTGATTTTTTGGAGCCCAAAAGGTCTGAGGCAGGTGGGCCATACTTTATTTTCAGTACCTACTCCTGCATTGAAGTCGTCCATGAGGAACAGTTGGTCTGCTTTTGGGGCGTTGTTGATTGCATTCTGAAGTTCCTCGTAAAACTGGTCTTTTTTCCTCATTTTCTGTTGTTAGGGTTGGGGCGTAGGCGCTGATGAAGTTAGCCTTTCCAGTTTTGGTTTTCATTTCCATGACAGTGATACGTTCGGATACACCTTGGGGGTGCTGATCCTGTTCAGCAATCTGTTGTGTACTGCAAATCCCACACCATGGACCAGAAGAATGTGTAGTTTCTTTCCCTGATGGTACCAGTGTTAGCAAGTCTCGTCTCTTGCAGGGCAGTGATGTCTACATTGAGTTGTGTGAGCTTCCTGTCTATGATTGCTGTCTTTCTGATGGCCTCTGTTTTCTCCAAGTTGGTAGCGTCCAATTCGTTTGTCATTGTTCTACCATTCCAGGTCCCCAGTTTCCATGGGGTTCGTTTTACATTTTTGCCTGGTGCTGGATTTAACGTCTGCCTTTCGGTTTTTGTCCTAGCTCTATACACCCATAGAAGCAAGCAGGCTTGGCGGATCAGCACCTTACTGACTGGGGGCTGCCCAGTTTGAGACGGGTGGTAGCTGATCAGTACGACTGAATAGTCACTCCCATCGTCAAAGGTGACCCGTGGCAACATCCTGTTTCACCAAATAGGGATGTCTTATAACCCGTAAACTGCCACCTCCCGTGTTTTTGCTCTTGCTTATCACAACAAGAATGAAGTGTCCTCTCCATAGTCATATAAATACTGCTGTAGCTGTGGTTGAGCTGTGGATCTGATCCGCTCTATTTGCTAACAACGTCAGCTACCAGCTTGTCACACTCCTCAAACATCCTAATATCCTCATTGAGACCAAGCCAAGCTCATTAACTCTATCTTTATCCCCACCTTGAGCTACCTGTGCCAGACATGGACCCTGACCAAAAGTCTGGAACGTAAGTTAACCACCTGCGAGATAAGATTTCTAAAGAGAGCCGTCAACAAAAACAGACAGGACATGGTCAGAAACAACAAGATTAGAGAAATGGTGGGAACAACACCTGTCCTCCACTACATCCGAAAGCAAACAATCAGGTGGTTTGGACATCTCATACGTATGGCACCTAACCAGCTTGCCAGTAAAGTCTACTACATGAAAGTGTCAGGGTACAAAGCAAGAGGAAGACCAAGAAAGACCTGGATCCAGGGTGTGAAGGATACCCTGAGAACATTCAATATCCCACCCAGCCAGGCCATCAAACTTGCTAGAGACAGGAAGGTCTTTCTCCCCTCGACGCCCTCGAGATACAAGAGGACGGATAAAGTAAAAGTAAGTATTTGCTCTTTTGCAGCGTCCTCCCTGAAATATTGAAATCTTGACTAAGCTAAATGGCTTGACTGTATGGAGAACGTGCCTTGCCCAATTTGCACGTACCGCCTCTCGACTTTGCTTATTTTGTCCAAAGGAGCGACGAGGTCACTACATTTGGAGCTAGTAGAGTTGCAGGGGCTGCCAGAAGATAGTTCAGATCATTCCTCCCTGTCGACTGCCTTAGGGGCCCTCCCTCCGGATTTGTTTAGGGTTTACTCCCTTAGCCTTTCATACTCCCGTGTTCACCTACAAGACAGAAGGAACAGCTGCAGGTAGTACCATCTACTGTCATTATGGTAGCAGCACTAAAGCTGACACGACTACTATAAATACTACTATAGGGTCTATATCAGGTGAGTAAGCCAGCCAGCCCACCCTTGTCCACTCGATGCTGCTGTGGGAACTCGTTTACGACATGAGCACGGTGAAACCGAGTTATCGTCCTTGAGAATGGTGCCTGGTTCCACATTCTTTAGAGCTAACACGACAGATGCTTGCAGAATTTCGTCCGTTTAGCAAATTCAGATTTAATTGTCTTTATATTATCTTGGAGGAATGTTCCTTTTTTCAGATTAATGTGTCTCAACACAATTACAACTCCTCCCCCAACTTCCATCGCGGTCATACTCCTGGATACAGCCGCCCTGAAAACGTGCGCCAGGGAGGCTCCAGACGCAAATTCTGCCGTAATTCATGATTGAATGTGAACTTGTCTGTGAGCAGTTCATTTGACCACTTTTGACGTGTCCATTGCAGGCGATGTGTACACCAGGTCCGCCGAGCAGTGCGATGGGTCTGGGTCAGGGGGAGACAGATTGCTGATCGTCTCGGGCCAAGTTCATGTTGACGTAATCTGTTCCTTATGGTCTGGCAATGGCAATGTCATTTACAGAGATTCAAAGTTATTTGTGTTCCTACAAATAGTTTTGCTACTTTTCTTATCAAATTTATTTATTTCTATGATGCACTGTTTCTCCTAATTGCTACCACAGCAAGGTATACCAACATTTATGAAAGTTTATATTGTAGTGGTGCAGAATATTTAGAAGATGGATGTATACAGGTTGAATGACTTGCGTTTCTTCAGAAAGCACATTCTGATTTACCCTTTTAGCAATACATGTATTGGCACTTAAATTTGCCAGTTCAATTTGTGGTCGATTGTGAGACCGAGATGTAAATCTAGTACTAATCCGTGATTTTCATTTGTTGTGTGTGTGTGTGGGGGGGGGGGGGATTGTTGCTGTTGTTCAATTACAAGAGGTGGAACTTGCTTTTTTCTGTTCGAAAATTACAACAACAAAAACAAAACTAATTCTTTCGTATTTGTGAAGTTAACTTTTCGAAAATTTGAACTACACCATTTATAAAAAAAAGTGCATATTTCTATGAGATACTCTTTTTTTTATCGAAGCCTATTACATGTAGTATAGTCATATGCCGACCTAACAATCCGTCACTTTCTAATAGAGTGTCCAGACCTTGGAGAGACCCGAAGGAAATACTGTAGTGTAAGCGCACTAATTTGAAGAATTTGTTCTCTGTCGTTGATCACAAGACAATTCTCAGTTTTATATAGACCGACCATTGGTCTTTACGCCAAGACATAGATAGTGCTGTTTATAAAGTTAAATGTTAAAGACTGTTTTTACCGCTGAATTTCTATTATGAACTTTTCACGCCAATCATTGTGACTTTTTAATGTGAAACCAAGTCATGTTGTGAACTAAGGCGAAAACAACTAACTTGGGTTCCTCGTGTTAATATGACTATGCAATTGCGACCGCCGAAAAACCAAATTAAAAGTCCAGTTATAGTGCAGTAATCTTCAAATTTTATTAAGTATGTTGTTTTATGCAGGTACTACTCTCCCTGCTTTCGTTTGTAAATATCGTATATAAAAGTAGTGACAAAACACACCAGCGTGTATGGTGCAGCGATTAAGTACTTCGCTGTTGCACGCAGGAGACCAGAGTTCGATTCCCGTGTGGGGAGTACTAATTTTATTGAGTATTTCAGTCTTGCTGCTGGGATGGTGTATTACTTTCTGCCTGGGTTGGCCCTGGCAGGTAAGGTAGGATGCTCACCCTCCCAAGAAACCTAAGCTGTGTCGATGGGGTGTTAAAAACGTACATTTGAAGGGAAAAAATCACCCCTGGTGAACGCCGGGGTTACAAAGGACAGACACTCACGTGGATGTCTGAGTTGTGTAGCGTTTGAAGATCTGGCTCACTGTGCAGCCAGGACAATATAGCGACCCCGTAGATTTATTTTGCTCTTGGCCGTCCTGATTGCGTCACATCCACCCCCCCCCATTCCTGTCGTTGCAACTCGACTTTTCAGCCTGATGATGATTGGATGACTCTGGTGGATTGTTGACAGGCGCTCTGGAATGGTTTGCTCCTTCGTTTCCATCAAACATCTGTCGTCTTAATGTCTCTTTCTTTTTTTGTGTTTAATATTCTATTGTAACACCTCTAATCACCAGTACTTATGTGACCTTATTGTGTTGAAAGTGCCCTGAAACTCCTTCTAAAACCAAAAGGATGACTCACTGCAAGACGTCTTGCCACTTTTCAAACAATGGTGCCGGGCCAGCGATCTCCGTCAGTCCATGTTATCTAAATGGCGTCTTTGGGGCTTTGTTAAAAACCACACGAAAAGTTGGCAATAAATGTCCATCAAACCGGAAAATCTCAATCAGTAAACATGACAAGTCACGACGTTTCCCGAGATTTGATATTTCACCATTCATTCTGTCACTCAAAGTCAAGGAAAAGAATCCTTTTTTAAAGCCTGAAACATGCTATTTCTTGTTCGAATAAAGATAATAAACTCATCGACTCGAAAAAGAGGATACTTTAACGCTAAGAAAGAACAATAACGATACAGGAGAAAAGAGGTAGTGCAGTGTGCCCCACTTATAAAACAGTCAAGGATATAGCAGGATTACAGATCTAGCAGGCTTATGGTAAATCCCCGAGTCCGATCTCTTTTGGTGTATTGTGAAAAAAAGTTCTTTTATAGATTCGGAGAGACATGTTCGGCTAAAAGTAAAACAGTGGGTCATTTATCGACAACATCATTTCGAAAACAAACGGACAAGTCAGCACCCCCCCCCCCAAAAAAAAACCCACAAAAAAATAACAACCAAAAAACCAAAACAAAACAACAACAACAAAAAAACCCAAACAAACAACAACAACAACGACAAAAAAACATAAACAAAAACAAAAACAACCAACCCAACAAAAACAAAAACAAAAACGAACAAAACAACAAAAACAAACAAACTAACAAACAAACAATCTAAAAAACGAAAAAAGGAAAAGAAGTTAAACAAACAATCAACATTGCAAATTGCATCTGCCTTACCTACAACTACAATAGGTTGAGGCTGATTGTGTACACATTTTACGATGTGTCTTATAGCCTAACGTATGTTTGGGCAGGGATAAGGGGAGAAGGTGGTTGCACTTTTGTGTTGATGCAGATCCACTCAATGACTATATTATGATCTAAGTGTCGATGGAGGGCGTAAAAAACACCAGCTTTAGAGAAAAGTGTGTGGCCCTATGACTATAGTGTGGCCCTGGTCAGCTGGCACCACAACATGATAATTGTGAGGCAGTGTGGTGAAATCAGGCTGTCGTCAATATACGCAAAGTTAAGAAACTGGCATTTTTCTGCAGGTTTGTGAATTTTTATCGAATTTTTGTTTTGGCTCAACA